GTCCAGTGTGGTATGGTAGTCTGGTATGGTGTGGTACAGCGCGGTACAGTGCGATGGTTAGCGGTACACTTTAGGGGTTCATCCCAATGCTGGCGTGCGTGTCCCGCGACGGGCTGTGGGCGGTGAACTCGACGCCAAGGTGGATGCCGTGGGACCTCAATCCGCTGAGTATTGATCGCCAGCCCAACTACCGCTCCTGCGACCTGCTCTTCGCCAAGAGGTGCGGTGTTGTCCAGTGGTACGGTATGGTCTGGTATGGTGTGGTACAATGCGGTGGTGACTGTGCTGGACTTTGAGCGCCAGCTGGCGTGTGTGTCGCGCCATTTGACCCTCCCACTACATTTATCCTCGTGCCTTGTATCGTTCCACCTCCCCAACCCTTCGTGTCTCGCTGTCCTGTTCAGAAAGGGCGGTGTGTTTGGGGCAGCAGCGGAGTGGGCACCCCCCCTCCGCCCCCACCGCTGCCCTTTCCCCCACCGCATTCCACTGCACTATAAGCCGATTTCCAAACCGCCTCAAAACAACACGAATGCTTCCTGCTCCGTCTGTCCCCCTTCCCAACCTCCCACCTGCCCAACCCTCCCCTGTTTGTCCTGTCCTATCTCAGGAAGGGCGGTGTGTTTGGGGCAGCAGCGGAGCGGGCACGGAGGTTGCCCAACGCAAGAGCAGCATGGCGGGTGCGGCGGGAGCTGCTGTACCAGTGGCGCCCCGCCAGCCCCCTCCGTTGCCCCTTCCAGCAGTTCGACCGCGCGGGTTCTGCCGTGCTTTGAGGGGGCGCAACGTGGTGGTGGTGGGGGATGCGTTTAGTCTCGACTGGCACGACGCGCTGGTCAACCACCTTGTCACTGCGGGGACTAAGAACAGGGCAGGGCAGCTGGGCGATGCCTGGTAAGTCAGTCCTGAGGCGCCTCAAGAAGGAGTGGGTGTGAGGGGGCGCAACGTGGTGGTGGTGGGGGATGCGTTTAGTCTCGACTGGCATGATGCTCTGCTCAACCACTTGATCACTGCCCAGACCAAGCACAGGGCAGGGCAGCTGGGCGATGCCCGGTGGGTTCTGGCGGGGCTATGGGGAGTATTAAGCTTTTATGAGGGGTGCTGGGGGTTGCCTGGTGAGTCTGGGTTGCATTGCATATGTACACCCGTGGGTTTCAGGGTTTGCAGTGCGGTATGGGCAAGGGATCAGCAGCACAGCAGCATCTTGGGTTTGAATGGATCATTGCTCAAAAGGTCACATGCATTTTTCTCTCCCCACTCACCCACCAGGGCCAACGTCACAGAAGGGGCCTGCTTTGAAAGGGGACACCGCCTCTGCACCGACGTCCCACTCATTCCCCCCTCCACCCCCACCGCTGCTGCTGCTGCTGCTGCTTCTGCTGACTCCTCAACTCTTGATGACCCAGACTCTGATCCCGCCACTGCTAGTGCTACTGGTGTCGGTGGCTTCACTGCTGGTGGTTCGGCTGCTGCTGCTGCTGCCGCTGCTGGTGCTGGCGGTGGTGGTGGTGGAATGGGTGTTGGGGTTTCTGGTCGTCGTTCTCGCTTTGGGGCTGCTGCTGATGCATCTGAGGAGGACACAGGGGGAGAGGATGGGCAGGACAGGGGTGAAGAGGAGGGTGCAAGGGGGAGGCAGGCGAGTGGCGACGCGGGTGTGGGTGGACTCAGAAGTGGGTTTCAGAGGAAGGGCTGGGGACGAGGCAGAGGGCTGGCTGGGAGAGTGAGGTCTGGCGACTGGGAGGCGGACAAGAGGAGTGGGGAGGCTGGCGGACTGGGAAGCAGAGAAAGGAGTGAAAAGTGGGGGAGGGCGAAGAAGCAGAGCCAACGGGGTTTACTAGAGTGGAGGAGGAAGGGGAGGAAGGGGGAGTGGGAAGTGGGGGTGGCCGAGCAGCGAGGGCCGGGAGGAAGAGGAGGGCAGTCGGTAGGCAGGGGGTTGGCGGAGATGTGCTAAACCAAGGGCTTAGCAAAGAGGGCAGTGGTGCGAGTCAGCCCCTTAACAGCAAGGAGGGAGGGGGTGGTGTGGTGGTGAGGAGGAGGAGGATGGCGGGGTTCAATCTGCGGGTAGTGCTGAACGCCTTTGCAGCACCGGACACGGGGCGGCCCACGCGGCTCAACAACCGCTGGCTCAAGCGCCTCAAGAAGTGGAAAACCAACATCCTGGTGCTCTCCCGCACCCCGGCCTTTGGTGACAGTGAGTGGGGGGAGGGAGGGGGGTGATGGGGGGGAGGAGGGTTCTCTGTTGCGACTACCGTGGCAGGTCTTTAACCTTTCAAGCGCCTCAAGAAGTGGAAGACCGGCATCCTCGTGCTCTCCTGCACCTCCACCTTCGGCGACAGTGGGGATGTGGGTTCTCTTCTCTTCGTCGTCGAGTTTCAGACATGTCTCAGTGCAGCGCGCTGGGGATGTGGGTTCTCTTCTCTTCGTCGTCGAGTTTCAGACATGTCTCAGTGCAGCGCGCTGGGGATGTGGGTTCTCTTCTCTTCGTCGTCGAGTTTCAGACATGTCTCAGTGCAGCGCGCTGTGGATGTGGGTTCTCTTCTCGTCGTCGAGTTTCAGACATGTCTCAGTGCAGCGCTCTGGGGATGTGGGTTCTCTTCTCTTCGTCGTCGCCGCATCCAGCAGAGGAGGATGAGATGTTTCGTGAGAATGTATCTCCTGAGGCCTATGTTGTTGGATGCAGGAGGTTAGGGATAGATACCAGTGAGGGACCTGACCTGTATCTGCACATGCTTGTTATCCGTGCTGGCACAACGAACGAACATCCGTCCTAATGTTTCTCCCTGTCCTTCTTTTCTCTTCTCCAGAGGAGCTGATGCTGCAGGAGGTGCAAGACACCCTCGAAGCCGTAAGAGACCGGTACCCGGACATGCTTGTCAACTGATGGCCACGTGTAATGAGGGTATTTTTGAGACGTCTCAAAAATACCCTCATTACACGTGTTTTGAGACGTCTCAAAAATACCCAGACACGCTTGTCATCTGATGGCCTGTCCCCCTTGCCTTGCCCTTATTGATTTCCCAAATCTTCCAGAGGAGCTGATGCTGCAGGAGGTGCAAGACACCCTCGAAGCCATAAGAGACCGGTACCCGGACATGCTTGTCATCTGATGGCCTATCCCCCTTGCCTTGCCCCTATTTCCCAAATCTTTCAAAGGAGTTGATACTGCAGGAGGTGCGAGATACCCTGGACACCCTAAGAGACCTGTACCCAGACATGCTCGTCATCTGATGGCCTGTCCCCCTTGCCTTGCCCCTATAATCCAAATTCTTCAGAGGAGCTGATGCTGCAGGAAGTGAGGGACACGCTAGAAGCTGTGAGGGACCTGTACCCGGACATGCTTGTCATCTGGCTCAGTGCGGTGGGCGGCCATCCCAGCTGCCAGCACTTCACCCGCCCATACCACTTAGTCCCTTTCTCCCTTGCCCATACGCTTCCCCTCCTCCTTCAGAGGAGCTGATGCTGCAGGAGGTGCGAGATATCCTAGAAGCAGTGAGGGACCTGTACCCGGACATGCTTGTCATCTCATGGCCTGTCACCCTTGCCTTGCCCCTATCTCCCCATGCAATGCAAACAGAGGAGCTGATGCTACAGGAAGTGCGAGATACCCTCGAGGCAGTGAGGGACCTGTATCCGGACATGCTTGTCATCTGGCGCAGCGCGGTGGGCGGCCATCCCAGCTGTCAGCACTTCACACGCCCGCTCAGGACCCGCCCCGCCCTGCTGGCCGCCAAGGGGAAGATTCCCGACGCGTGGCTCCGGCATGCCGAGATGAACGCTGCCATCAGACCGCTGCTCAAGGTGTGTGATTGCTCTAGGCGTGCTTTAGTTTAGTTTACGTGCATGCCCGGCCCGCCCCACCACTGCCTGCCTTGCTGCTGCTGCTGCAGGTGGCGCTGGTGCTGGTGCTGCTGTGGTTGGTGCCCCCGCTTCTGACCTCTGCCCTCTCTCAACCCCCCTCCCCCTCCCCAAACCACACAGGAGTACGGGGCAGTGTACATGGACGTGGACTCGCCCACCTCCCTTACTAAGTCCTGACCTCTGTCTTCTCTCACCCGCTCACCCCCCCCCCCCACCCCCCCAGGAGTACGGGGCAGTGTACATGGACGTGGATTCGCCCACCTCCCTTCGCCCCGACGGGCATCACGAGCGCATGGACGGCAGCATCAACTGCCACCACTACTGCATGCCCGGCCCGCTCGACCACTGGGTGTCTCTCTTCCACAACCTGCTGCTGCTGCTCGACCAACACTCCCCCCTGACCGCCCTCCCTGCTGCTGCTGCTGCTTCTGCTGCTGCTTCTGCTGGTGCTGCTGGTGCTGCTGGTGGTGTTGGTGGTGGTGGCGGTGCTGCTGGTGTTGGTGGTGGCGACGGTTTGTCTAGTTCTGGTTTCGGTGGTGCTGCCGGTGCTTCTGGGTCTAGTGCTGCTGCTGCTGGTGGGGTGCCAGCGGTGAAGGTGAGTGGGGTGGTGGGGGAGGGGGGAGTGGTGGTGGAAGAGGAGGATCTCTCTGACGTACCCAGAGGAGGGAGGTGGCGCAGCAAGGGGGACATAGAGGAGGAGGAGAGGGGGAGGGAGGATGGAGGAGGAGGTATGGTGGGGGTAGGCGGTTCGGAAGGGTTTGAGGGAGCAGGGATTGTGGGAGGGGGGATGGGAGTGGGAGGAGGGTTGGGTGAGGGGCAAGTGGAAGGGAGTGGTGGAGATGGGCGTGGAGGGGTGGAGAGCTCTCAAGAGGCAGATGCGGCCGGTGCAGGACCAGGGACTGTTGGTGCTGATGGTGCTGCTGCGGCTGCGTCTGCTGCTGATGGTGGTTCGGAAGGGGGGCCTGGGAGTGGTGAAGCAACAGGAGGGGTTGGAGGGGCGGGAGGAGGAACAACAGCTGCAGGTGCTGCAGAAAAGGAGGCGACAGCTTCTTCCGATGCTGGTGCTGCTGGCTCTGCCACTGCTGCCATGACCATCACTCCTGCTGCTGCTGCTGCTGCTGCTGGCACTGCCAGTGGTGGCGAAGGTGCAAGTGTTGGAGTGGGAGCGGGTAAAGAAGCAGCCACAGCCACTGCCACTGCCGCTGCAGCTGCGGCTGCTACTCCTGCCACTGCTGCTCCTGTTTTGGAGCGTAAGTGACTCCTTGAGTTGCCCCCTCCTGTCTTGTTGCTTTGCATTTGCCAGCCAACTTGTTACGATGCACCCTTCACGTCCCCCTCACACCCCCCTCTTCTCCCCACTTCACCCCTCTTACCTCCACGTCACTCCTCTTCACCCCTCTTCCCTCCCTTTCCTCCACCCTCTCCAGCCTGCACCAACTTCTCGGCGTGCATCCCAGGGACGCGCATTCGGGGCGAAGCAGCAGTGGCGGAGGCGCAGCAGGAGGTGGCGTGTGTGGCGGAGGATGGCAAGTGGGTGCGCTTCAACACGCCCCGCTGGCTGCCCTGGTCCCGCGACCCCCACACCAACCCACGCGCACCACATTATGGCACTTGTGATCTCATGCATGTGAACGAGTGAGTGCCTCTTTAGAGGTGCCTGAAAGGTGGACCTTTGAGGTGCATCACATGCGATCTCATGCATGCATGCCTACAAGTGAGCTGCGCGCTAGTGAGTGAGTGAGCTAGTGAGCGAGTGAGGGAGGGAGGCGCAGCAGGAGGTGGCGTGTGTGGCGGAGGATGGCAAGTGGGTGCGCTTCAACACGCCCCGCTGGCTGCCCTGGTCCCGCGACCTGCACACCAACCCGCGGGCGCCTCACTACGGCACGTGCGACTTGATGCATGTCAACGAGTGAGTGTGTGAATGAGTGGAGAGCACATGCCCTGCCCTGATCTCACGGCCCCCACACTAACCCGCGCGCGCCGCTCTACGGCACGTGCGACTTAATGCATGTCCACGAGTGAGTGCCACTAGAGGTCTGAACTGAATGCCTCTTCTGTTGATGTCTGCTTTTGAGGTGCCTCAAAAGTAGGCACCGCACTACGGCACGTGCGACTTAATGCATGTCCACGAGTGAGTGCCGTGCCACTAGAGGTCTGAACTGAATGCCTCTTAGTGCCGTGCCACTAGAGGTCTGAACTGAATGCCTCTTAGTGCCGTGCCACTAGAGGTCTGAACTGAATGCCTCTTAGTGCCGTGCCACTAGAGGTCTGAACTGAATGCCTCTTAGTGCCGTGCCACTAGAGGTCTGAACTGAATGCCTCTTAGTGCCGTGCCACTAGAGGTCTGAACTGAATGCCTCTTAGTGCCGTGCCACTAGAGGTCTGAACTGAATGCCTCTTAGTGCCGTGCCACTAGAGGTCTGAACTGAATGCCTCTTGGTGCCGTGCCACTAGAGGTCTGAACTGAATGCCTCTTGTGTTGATGTCTGTGCATGGGTTCAACCTACTATTCCTTCCTGTCCTCCCTCTTCCTGCTTCCTACTCTCTCCTTCCATCTCTCCTCTCTTGTCTCCACCTCCCCACCTCCCAGCCTCCCCAACTCCCCCAACACCTTCATTCTTCCCGCTGGCAGGACCGGGGGCAAGGGCAAGTTTCATAAGAATCATTTTGGGACATCTCAAAATACTTCTTCGCAGCAAGGCCTCCGCAGCCCACCTGTCCTCTCTTGACAGTTCCAACTCCCCCAACACCCTCATGCTTCCCGCCGTCAGGACCGGGGGCAAGGGCAAGTTTCATAAGAATCCGGGCGACCAGGAGTGGCATGTGCGGCCAGAGCTCAAGTACCAGTGGATGGCCAACTGTTTCTGCCCACCGTTCATGGGGTTCAACCGTCTCTTCCTCCTCCCATCCCATCTCCCTCATCCTCCCCTCCTTCCGTTTCTCCTCTCGTGTCCCCACCTCCCCACCGCCCCAACCTCCTACCTCCAACCCCTTTTCCTTTTCTGCTGACAGGACCGGCGGTAAGGGCATGTACGGGTATGCAGCGGACAAGTTTCGGAAGAATCCGGGCGACCGGGAGTGGCACATGCGGCCAGAGCTGAAGTACCAGTGGAAGGCCAACCGCTTCCGCCCGCCGTTCATGGGGTTCAACCGTCTCTTCCTCCGCCCCCTTCCCATCTCCCTCGTCCTTCTCTCTCCTTCCTTTTCTCCTCTCGTGTCCCTGCCCCACCTCCCTGCCTCCCCAACCCCCACATTCCCAACACCTGCAATCTCCCCGTTGTCAGGACCGGTGGCAAGGGCATGTACGGGTATGCAGCGGACAAGTTTCGGAAGAATCCGGGCGATCGGGAGTGGCACGTGCGGGCGGCGCTCAAGTACCAGTGGAAGGCCAGCCGCTTCTGCCCGCCCTTCATGGGGTTCAACCGGCACAAGTTCTGTGCGGCGGTGGGGCGGCGTAATGTTCTGTTTGTGGGGGATACGACTCAGCTGGCGCTGCACGACGTGTTTCTCAACCATGTCACCACCATCGCCACTCAGAAGGAGATTGGGGATATCGCCGACGCCTGGTGAGGCTTGGGGGAGGTGCTGTCCATGCAGTGGGGGCTGGGCTGGGGTGCCTGCTAGTGGGGGTTTGGGATGCCTGCCGATGGGGCGGCGCAGCGTGCTGTTTGTGGGGGACACGACTCAGCTGGCGCTGCACGACGTGTTTCTCAACCATGTCACCACCATCGCCACTCAGAAGGAGATTGGGGATATCGCCGACGCCTGGTGAGGCTTGGGGGAGGTGCTGTCCATGCAGTGGGGGCTGGGCTGGGGTGCCTGCTAGTGGGGGTTTGGGATGCCTGCCGATGGGGCGGCGCAGCGTGCTGTTTGTGGGGGACACGACTCAGCTGGCGCTGCACGACGTGTTTCTCAACCACGTCACCAACATCGCCACTCAGAAGGAGATTGGGGATATCGCTGATGCCTGGTGAGGGAAGGGTGTGTTGTGCGGTGGCAGTTGGGAATGCCTTTTGGTGGTCGGGGTTGGGAGTGCATGCTGATGGGATTTGGGTGGTGATAGTGAAAATCCTCAAAGGCCCTCATGTGCTTCCCCACCACAGCTCGACAGCCAACAACCAGCCAGCGGTGCTGCAACTGATGAGCCTGACCCAAATGCCCTCATCCCTGCTGCTCTCTAATCTCCCATCCCCATCCCGTTCTCCTCTCCCCCTCCCAATGGCAGGACGGCGCCCAACAACCAGCCGGCTTGTGCCACCAACAACCCCCACGTGGTGTGCTCCGACATCGTCCCAGGGGGCTTCACCTTCCGTGTCGCCCACAACAACCTGCTCACGCCGGATACGCCGGGAGGAGGGGCGTTCAACCAGCGGTGGCTGGGGCACCTGCGCAAATGGAACGTGTCAATTGTGGTTCTCAACAAGGGCTTTGAGCACCGCCCCAGTGAGTGCTGGGTGAAGGGGAGATGGCTGGGGGAACAGTGGTTGGGGGGACTGTGGCTGGGGACCGACTCTCCTGGGGGGGGAAGCGTTCAACCAGCGGCAGGTGGGGCACCTGCGGCAGTGGAACGTGTCCATTGTGGTTCTCAACAATGGCTTTGAGCACCGTCCCAGTGAGTGCTGCTGCTTCAAGGTGACTTTTGAGTCGACTCAAAAGTCATCTGCTTCTTCAAGGGCAGGGACACAGTGGCTGGTGTTAGAATTGAACCGATGGTTTGATTAGGAATCACAAGGGTATACATAGTTGGAGCCAGGGAAGGGGGGGGGCGCTGGTTACCTAGCCAACATTATTGCCCCCCACCAATAAGTTGGGTTAGGGAATTATTGGGGGGTCCCATTAATGTTGGCCAAAGTTGGGCCAACCTTATTGGGGGGCCAATAATCTCCCAACCCAACCTTGGGGGCCAAATAATTGGGCCAAGGTTTGGGTTCCAACCCCCAACAAGGGTTAACCCTAGTTGTGCACCCAAACATATTTTGGGTGCCTATCTCTATCCTCGTAGGATCAATGCAGGATACAAAGGAGTAGTATAATCTAACAGCTGGGCTGGCAGTGGTTGGGAGGGCAGTGGTGAAGGGGACATAGTGATTGGGGGGACGCAGTGGTTGGGGGAGGGGCGTTCAACCAGCGGTGGCTGGGCACCTGCGGCAGTGGAACGTGTCGATCGAGGTTCTCAACAAAGGCTTCGAGTGGCGGCCGAGTGAGTGCTGCTTCGTTAAGGACAGGGACACAGTTACCGGGGGGGCGGTGGTTGGGGGAACAGCGGTTGGGTTGGGGTTGCAATTAACCTGCGCTACCTGGGGGACCTGGGGTAGCTGGACACTGTGGAACGTGCTGGACAGTGATTGTCAAGTCAACTGACAGATATTATCAGCCTAGTGAGCTTTCAAACAGAAGTCTGTTTATCGATCATCATCCTTCACTAATCCTTTCATCTCCAACCATTCCCGTGACTATTTGTCTCCCCCCACCACTCCTCCCCCCCCCACCCCCCCACCCTCCCTCCCTTCCCCCCGCCTTTTTTTCTTCCCTGCCAGCCCCGGTGTATCTCAAGACGCTTCGTCAGACGCTCACAAAATTCCGCCAGGTGGCACCTGACACGCTGCTGATTTGGCGATCCACGTGGCGCGGCCATGAGGGCTGTGAGAATGCCACGGAGCCGCTGGCAGCGCCACCCGATAATGCCACCCGGGCTGGTCCATGGGCATTTGTACTGGAGCAGAATGAGGCAGTGCGGGATTTGATTCGGGTGAGTTGGATCTCACAGGTACCGTAAGTGAATTTTGTGCTCCTAGAATGTCGTGTCCTCTCTTGGCACTGCTTTCAAGTTTGAATTCAATGTTTGGTCAGAAACTGCCTCATGGTAGTTTGGGGAAATTTTACATTATCGAAATATTTTTGAAGTGAGTTACCCTTTTTTTGTTTCCCTCGCCCCCCCCCCCCCTCCTGCAGGAATTTGGTGGTGTGTTCATGAATCTGGATTTTTCCTTGTCGATGCGACCGGATGGGCACCTACGACAACTGAATGGGCTCACAGATTGCTACTACTACTGCTTGCCTGGTCCTGTTGACCATTTCATGCGGCTTCTTTACAACTACCTCCTCATCCTCGATAGCAAAGGGCCAATTTCATCGGCTCAAGGAGGGTCTAAAACATAGCAGGGCTAGGCTTCTTGACATAATGAAGAAGTTTTTGTGTATCTTTAAAACGCGTGACTTTTTAATATGAGTTGGTGGGTGGGCTTGTACAATACCGAACAATCCGCCGACGAATACACGGTATCTTGTTTGGTCGTGGACTTGAAAAGGGGCGCGAAGGCAACTTCCCACCAATCAAATTCCACCATCGTGATGCTGCTTTCTTGACGATCCTGCCGTTCGTGCTATTGCAAGGCCTGTTGGACGGCCTCGATTGCGAGATCTCTGAGCTGAGTCCCACTCATATTTCTGGACCGATCCATCCACATGTGTGGTTTCTTCTAGCGCATCTCTATCGTCCACGATTTCCGCATCGACGGCTGTGTGCAGTTAAAGCTGCGGTCTACATACCTCGAGGGACAGGCCCTGGTTTATCACTTGAAAACAGGGTAGCAGACTCTCCAGAAGAAACGAATGATCGAGGCGGAAGGAGGGAGCGGGGTGGGCGCAAAGCTTTCCGCTTGGTTGTTTGTGTTTGGCGCTGAAATTTCCGCCTTTCCGCGGATTTGTTCCCCCAAGAAAACCCAATCGCGAAATTGTTTCACATCGCCAACTTTGTGCTAACTCATCGCACAAGTGTTTGGGGGAAAACCACACTTCGCTCTCAAGTCATCGCGCACCAAAGGGTGTGCACCTAGATTACCCCCCAAAACCCCCTTTTAGTATGTAGACCGCAGCTTTAACGCCTGGAGAACAGGCAGATCTGTTTTCGGGGTTGCGTGTTCTCTTCTGTTCACGGCGCAGCAGCACCTTTAGCAAAGAGATGAGGATTCAGTCAAGCTTGTAGTGACAGATGAGTTAGGGGACGAGATGATAGTTCCACTGGCAGTGCTCGTCTAGTTCACTGAATCCTTGCACACGGACTGCGCTTCGCATTAAGGCTGTGGAGTTTCTTTATCATCCGGTATCTAATTCTGCAGCGTTAGACTTATTCTAGGCAACGGTTTTCTTTTTCCAGCATTCGCCTGTACGGTGAATCCTGTCATCCAGCATTGACCACATCTGACTCTATCCTGACCAGCATTGTTGATACTTGAGTTGCTTATATATTTATATATACGGGTTTTCAGCATTCACCCTTACGGTGAATCCTGTCATCCAGCACTGACCACGTTTCACCCCCTCCTGACCGGCATTTCCCCTCTCTGTTAGCACTTTCTATTCCAGCAATCTCCGCGCGGCTACCCCGTATTCGCACTAACAAACTTGATTCTCGGTTCTTTAAAGTGATTACACATTAGCTGAATTCGTCATAAATGGCATCAGTCGCGTTGGATCCTCCCCGCCATTGCTGGCGCGTCGCTCGGCCTCTTCCCGCCGTGATTCGCGCGTCCGCGTGTCGGAAGGGCGGAGTCAGTCAGCTCAAGAGCAGCCACCGACGGCTCCTCGTGCTCACCGCCAAGCCGAAATGGCGACACGGTACGGTCCTAACCCGCTCTTCTGTTTCGATTTTCGTTGCCCAGTTTGTCTGACAGTTTGTCTGACAGTTTCTGTATTCAAAATTCTTAAGTTCCTCTTCTACCAAATATAATTCTCTCTGCTTTCTTTAAGCCAGCAATGTAGGCTTTTCCAATCGCCGTTCTTAAGGCTCATTGAATGGCTAGGTTTTCCTCGCCGTGCCCATCGTCCCCTGCAGTTACCTGAAAATACAATCCCTGGTTGTCCCCTAAAATGTCCGTTACCTTGTTGTTTCCTACTTCCCACATTCCTCCTATCAGTGACGTTCAAGCGTAGCAGTAATAAATGCCACGCGTCTCACTCCGAGTTCAATGGAAAGTAAGACTACCGCTTCCATTTCCTCCTCTGCTTCCACTTCCCCCTCTGTTCCACATCCTTCTCTGCTTCTACTTTCCATTGTTCCCGCTTCCATTCTCACCATCACATCCCAGCTCCGGTTTCAGGTGACTCACACGCTCCTACCTCACACATTCCCTCCCCTCCTCGTCACACGCTATCAGGTCGCACTTCCCTCGCAACGGACACGGCAACGGCAGCTCCCGCTGGTCCCATGACCCCCCTGGGTCCGGCTCTGAGCGAGCGAGTCACCAGAACGCAGCACGGAACCATGAGAGGGGATACGAGGGGCGATATGAGGGGCGGTATGGGAGAGGGTATGGGAGAGGAGACGTTAGAGGGTACGCTCAGAGTGGGTCCGAACGGCCCGCTTCTCCAGGCTCTTCCCCTTCCCCTTCCCCCTCCTCGTCCACCTCCCCTTTCGCGTCCTCCTCGCCTCCCTTCGCCAGTTTTGCCCAGTCCGCCGCACAATCCCCTTCCTCGCCTGCCACCTCAACTGCCTCGCCAGATTCGAATGCTGCGGCTGGGGGGGCAGCTTCTGGGGATTTTCCGTTCCAATCGCATCACACGATCCTGGACGTTGATCAGGTTGATCCGACGGCTGGCGACGCTGCCGCGTGGGGTGGGCTGGACTCGGCTGCAGCGGCAGCGGCTTGGAAGAGGAGCTTTCTGAAGCGGGTGGTTGACACGATCACCGATTCCAAATACTTCAATGTAAGCACATGGCGCGGCAAGCGCAGGGCTTTGTTTGAGGTGCTTCAATTAAGCAGCCTTCTGAAGAGGGTGGTTGACACGATCACCGATTCCAATTACTTCAATGTAAGCATGTGGTCACATGGTGATGTAAGCACTCAGCAATGTAAGCACAGAAAACCGCGTGTATTGAGATGATGAGGCGCCTCAAAAGCGGAGCTTTCTGAAGAGGGTGGTTGACACCATCACCGATTCCAAGTACTTCAATGTAAGCATGTGGTGATGCTAGCTCAGGGGGGCATGGTTTGAGGTGCTTCATGTCAATATCTTCCTGATGCGGGTGGTTGACACCATCACTGACTCCAAAAACTTCAATGTAATCACGTGGTCACATGGTGATGTAAGCACTCAGCAATGTAAGCACTCAGCAATGTAAGCACAGAAAACCGCGTGTATTGAGATGATGAGGCGCCTCAAAAGCGGAGCTTTCTGAAGCGGGTGGTTGACACCATCGCCGATTCCAAATACTTCAATGTAAGCACAGGGCAGTATAAGCACTTCGAGTATATGCACACTGGCTACTTCCACAGGGCAGTGTAAGCACAGTATGTGCCACACACTGAATTTGATGCCCACAGCTGGAAATGCAGAGACGTATCCCACAGTTATCGTCTCACTCATTCTCGTTCCGCCGTTGTTTTCCCTCCCACCTTCCGCTCCCGCCCCCCCCTCCAACCTCACCCGTCCACTCATATCATCCTCCCGAACCCCCTTCCTCATCGCCTTGCTCCACTGCTCAACCCCTCTCCTCTCCGCCAATCAGCTGCAGACAGCAGGATGGCTCATGGCAGGCGCATATCTCTCAGTTAGCTTCTCATTCATTCTCGTTTCCAAATTATTTCCCCCTCCACCTACCACCTTGCTCCATTGCACCACCCCTCTCCTCTCGGCCAATCAGCTGCAGACAGCTGGATGGCTCATGGCGGGGGCTGCCACGGCGGCAGTGGGCGTGCAGGTCACAGCACATATCATCCAGGTGAGATGAAACTCGCATGTCGCTTAGGTGAGTGAGATGAAACGCGCATGTCATTCAGGTGTGATAAAACGTGCGTGTCATTCAGGTGAGATGAAACGCGCAATTCATTCAGGTGAGATGAAACGCGCAATTCATTCAGGTGAGATGAAACACGCACCATTTCCATCAACAGCCCTCCTCCATTCTCGCTCCCCTTCCTCCCCGCTTCTCCAGGCCATCGAGTCCGTCCCTCTGCTTGCCTCACTAGAGATTCTCGTTGGTGCTGCTGTCACCACCAACGTCGCCACCAGCAACGTGACTACCACCAGCACCACCAGCACCACTAATCAGCAGTTCATCCCTCCCCTCCCCTCTCCAGGCAATCGAGTCCGTCCCTCTGCTTGCCTCACTAGAGATTCTCGTTGGTGCTGCTGTCACCACCAACGTCGCCACTACCATCGCTGGAGGCGGGGAAGGTGAGTGTATGGGGGGGTTGAGTTGAAGAGCGCAGGCATAATTGGGGAAAGGGAAGTTGAAGGGGGGGGAGAGGAAACGAGGGACAGGAGAGTGTGGCAGGAAAGGTTGTGGGAAAAAGGTGAGTTGGATAGCTAAAGATATTCGGAATGCGAGAATGGGAAGGTAGTGAAAGGTTGGGATTCGATTCGTAATGCCTTTCAAAGCGCCCACCTCTCACCTCCCTGTCTCTCCGTCTCCACCCTTCATCCCTCCTCCCTTCGCCCTCTCCTCCTCTCCCCCCACTCTTGTGATCCTTCCCCTTCGTCCCCACATCCCCATCAGCGCGCGAGCGTCTGGAGCAGCAATGGGACAAGTTCGTGAAGCGGATCAGCGGCACGTATGGGTTGCCTCCCCCACCATATACACACCTCCTCCCCCCTCGTGCGCCCCTCTTCCCTGCCTGTGTGCGCCCCTCCTCTCGTCCCCACGCCCCCGTCAGCGCGCGAGCGGCTGGAGCAGCAGTGGGACGAGTTCGTGAAGCGGATCAGTGGCACGTACGGGCTGTCGGACCCGGTGTTTGACGAGATGGAGAGTGGCAAGGACCTCGAGGTGGGCTGGAATTGAGGGTGGGTTGAGTGTGGTTTGTGCATGGCTGCCTGGCTCATGGCTGGCTGGCTGGCTGGCTCATGTGTGGCATGTGTGCGTCGAGTCAGTGGCACGTACGGGCTGTCCGACCCGGTGTTTGATGAGATGGACGGGGGCAAGGACCTCGAGGTGGGCTGACTGTGGTCGCTGTGTATCTGTAGATGGTTCGTTTAGCATGTGTGTATTGAGGCAGCGGCACGTATGGGACCACAGCATGTCCGGCCCGGAGCTTGATGAGATGGAAGGGGGCAAGGACCTCGAGGTGTGCTGCATGCGATGGAGGACTGAGTGTGATTCTGGGGTGAGGGTGGTTTGTACATGTGTGGCTTACTTTTGAGTCGACTCAAAAGCAGCTTTTGAGTCGACTCAAAAGCAGATGGAAGGGGGCAAGGACCTTGAGGTGCGCTGCATGCGATGGAGGACTGAGTGTGATTCTGGGGTGAGGGTGGTTTGTGCATGTGTGGCTTATTCTTTGGCTGGTCCATTCCATTCGGCATCTGTGCATCGAGTCAGCCGCGCCTTGGGGCTCTCTGACCAAAGAAAACGGTCATCTTCCCTCTAGTTTTATTGATGTGACTTTTGAGAATCTCAAAAGTCACATCTACATATCTGACCAAAGAAATTGCACTTCCCTCCGTCACACACATCTTGCCCTCCAAAACTACCACTCCGCGCCTACTCTGTTATTCCACGCAACCACCCCACTCTTCCCTTTTTTTTCTTCCACACACACAATACACACGCACACACTACAGGCCCAGATTCAGGCCCAGATACAGCGCACTTATAGCCGATGCAGCACTGCATCAGAGCGAGCAGCGGGCGTCTCACTTCATGCCTCCTTCCTTCCCCCTTATTCCCACACACACACGCATGATACAGGCCCAGATTCAGGACCTTTTGTCACAGTGCAGTGCGATTATAGCCGATGCAGCAGCGCAGCACAGCGAGCGGCGGCCCTCAGGAGAAACCCAGCAGCAGAGGGAGACGCGGGCAGCGGAGGGATTGCGGAGGGCCGCAGAGAGACTTGACCCGAAGCCTGCAAACAGCACAGGAAAGGGGACAGAGGGGGAGGAGCTGAAGGAGGGGAAAGGGAAGGAGGGTGGGGAAGCTACTTCTGAGGTGTCTCAGAGAAAGGCTGAGGTGGAGGTGGGGGAGGAAGCAGTGGTGGCGGTGAGAAAGGCGGAGCTGGTGCGGGTGTTATCTGAGTTCGTGGAGAGGAGGGAGGGCAGGGCGAGGCGGGTGAACCGCATGCTGCAGCAGGAGGTGCAGGCGGGAAGAGGGTTGGAGGGGCGGCTAGGGGACCTGACTAAGGTGAGTGAGAGTGACTGTAGCTTCACCAGGGTGCTGGCTATGGGATGACAATGGCAGGGCGAGGCGGGTGAACCGCATGCTGCAGCAGGAGGTGCAGGCGGGCCGGCGGCTGGAGGGGCGACGGGGGGACCTCACTAAGGTGAGACTGTGGGGGCAGTAGGCGGGATACCAGTGGGGAGTATGGGGGGAAGGACCTGCAGGAGCGACTGGGGGACCTCAGCAAGGTGCTTGCAGGAGGGAGCAAGTGGGGAATAATATGCCACGCCCTCCCATACTATACCATTTCACGCCCTGCCCTGCCATGCCATGCATTTCCCTGCCGTTCACATGATCGCTCGTGTGCTCCTCTCTGTCTGATCCCCCTCTACTCCACACTTGCCATGCACCTGCCATGCTGTCATGCTGATTTTCTTCCATGCTGGTTTGCTTTGCCATGCTGCCATGCTGCCATGCTGCCATGCTCACAGGCTCTGGAAGTGCGCACTTTAGCGTCCGTGGCAGCAGCACAGAACGTGGCCCGTCTGCAGGCACTCAACGACTCGCTGCAGGTGAGCTGTGTGGGCTGTGTGCGCTAACCCACATGGAGATGTGAGAGTGTGGAGAGAATTGGTGTTGTGAGGGTATCACTTGTGGCAGCAGCACAAAACGTGGCTCGCCTGCAGGTGAGACGAGCGGGCTGTGTGCGCTAAGCCACTCTTTAAGAGAGAGATGTGGTGATGTGAGACTGTGGAGGGATGTGGTGATGTGAGTGGAGAGAATGTGGTGATGTGAGTGGAGAGAATGTGGTGATGTGAGTGGAGAGAATGTGGTGATGTGAGTGGAGAGAATGTGGTGATGTGAGTGGAGAGAATGTGGTGATGTGGGTGTAATCACTCGTAGCAGCACAGAACATAGCTCGCCTGCAGGCACTCAACGACTCGCTGCAGGTGAGCTGAGCGGGCTGTACAGGCAGTAGGGACTGTCATGGCATTGTCACACACACGTAGCAGTGCAGCACATAGCCCACTTATGCACAAGTCCATGCTCCCTGAAATGCACCCCCGTTTCCACCCTCTAAAGCTCTTTTCTCACCCACGCCCATACATGCCCCTCTCATTTGTTCTACCTATCACACCCCCCCCATGCCCCTCCCATGCCCCCTCTCCACCTTATCCCCTCCCTCGCCCCCCTCCATCCTGCCCGTGTGGTGGCAGGCGGAGCGCAACAGTGTGACAAGTCAGCTGTCCGCGTTGACCAATCAGATCACAGGGCTGTCCACGTCACTGGACGTGCTGACGAGGCAGCAGGACTCTGTGTCCCAGTCCAACACGGTGGTGAGTGGTGATGTTCGGTGTGTGTGGGTGGGTGTGTGTGAAGGTGGGGCTACTGTGTGGTGTGTCCCAGTCCAACACGGTGGTGAGTGGTGATGTGCGGTGTGTGTGGGTGGGTGTGTGTGAAAGGGGGGCTAATGTGTGGTGTGTCTGGAGTCCAACACGGTGGTGAGCGGTGACGTGCGGTGTTTGTGCATGTGTGCATGCGAGTGTGTGGTGGGGAGTAGGGGGGAAAGGAGATAACGTGTGGCCCAGGCCAACACTGTGGAGAGTGGTGATGCGGGGGGGTTGTGCTGGTGAATGTGTGCATCTAAACTCATAGTTAAGCGTTTCTTTACAATACTGCTGCCCTTCTAACTATGAGTTTAGATCCCAGGCCAACACGGTGGAGAGTGGTGATGCGTGGGGAGTTGTGCTTGTCGACTTTGGAGACGTCTCAAAAGTTGGTGGAGAGTGGTGATGCGTGGGGGTTGTGCTTGTGAATGCGTGCATGGGGGATGGGGGAGGTGAGGGGGAATCCGTACCGCAATCCAATACGGTGAGTGGTGACATGTTGCCTTCACCACCGCTTCCCCAACCCCCCCTCTCCCTTTTTTCCCCCTTTTTTCCCTTCTCCCGTTTCCCCCTTCTCCCCATTCCTTCCCCCTTTTGGCCCCCCCCCCAGCTGCGCACTCGCCTGCGCAAGGCGCTGCTGGAGAAGCGCCAGCTGGCGCAATCATTGCGGGCGGCGCACCGCGTGCAGAGTGAGCGGGCGAGCGACGTGGAGGGGCGGCTGCGGTCGGTGGGGGCACAACTGAGGGCGAGCGAGGGGGCGATGCAGCGGCAGAGGCAGAGAGAGGAGGTGGACCTTCAGACGTACCTATCCCAGCATACTGCTATCAAGGTATTCCGTACAGAGCAGAGGGCAAGGTCTGTGCTACTAGCGAACGTGATATGAGTATCTAGTAGCTGAGACATTGCCCTCTGCTTTTGGGACGTCTCAAACAGAGGGCAAGGTCTATGCTACTAGCGAACAGTGGTACATGGGATTGAGCCGGTGGCACAGGTGAGGAGGGCGAGCGAGGTTGCGATGCAGCAGCAGAGGCAGAGGCAAAGAGAGGAGGTGGACCTTCAGACGTACCTATCCCAGCATGCTGCTATCAAGGTATGTTGCAGGCCTCCTAGAGTCGTTCGTGTGTCGAGGACCCCTTGAGTCCTCACTTCGAAGCACAGAGCAGAGCAGAGCAGAGCAGAGGGTAAGTGCTCGCTCCCCCACCTCCCCACTATTCCTTCTGTCCTCTGCAGTCGGAGCGCAATGCAGCATTAGCAAGCACGGATGAGCGACTTGGGAGCCCTGGGTAGCGTCTGTGAATCGTGCACCCTTTTGAGTCGACTCAAAATTCGACGCAGCATTAGCAAGCACAGATGAGCGACTTGGGAGCCTTAGGTGGCGTCTGTGAATCGTGCACCCTCCATTTCCTCGTCCTCCTCTCCCGCTCATCCTCCCCTTACCCTTCCTCTCATTCCCCCTGTCCCCCTCTTCCTCCCACTCTCCCCACTATCCGCCCTGTCCCATCCAGTCACAGTGCAATGCAGCAGTGGTGCAGGCGAGTGACTTGGAGTGCCGAGTGGCACCTGTGCTTCATGCACCTTCTCTCCAGTAATTTTTGTTTCTGCTTTGCCCTTGCGCCCTCTTCTTTCCCCATGCAGTCACAGCGCAATGCAGCAGTGGTGCAGGCGAGTGACTTGGAGTGCCGAGTGGCACCTGTGCTTCATGCACCTTCTCTCCAGTAATTTTTGTTTTTGCTTTGCCCTTTCGCCCTCTTCTTTCCCCATGCAGTCGCAGCGCAATGCAGCAGTGGTGCAGGCGAGTGACTTGGAGCGCCGGGTGGCGTCAGCGGAAGCTCAGCTGAAGGAGGTGAACCGATCGCGCGACCATCTCTTCATCACCAACCACGAGGTAGCGATTGCTTGCCTCCCTCCCCATCACGGGCTAACGGGGGCACCACCTAGTGGCATCTGCAGAAGCTCAGCTGAAGGAGGTGAATCGATCGCGCGACCACCTCTTCATCACCAACCACGAGGTAGCGATTGCTTGCCTCCCTCCCCATCACGGGCTAACGATTTAGTCAAAGGGGGCACCACCTAGTTGAAGGAGGTGAATCGCTCGCGCGACCATCTCTTCATCACCAACCACGAGGTAATGACTGACTGACTGCTGGGTACTTTGGGACAACCATAAAACAACCATGAAACATGAGGAACAAAGGTGTGATTGCGCATAGTGGTATCTGCGGAAGCGCAGTTGAATTGAAGGAGGTCCCCCGCTCCCGTGATCACCTCTTAATCACCACCCATGAGTTAATGATAACCCGCTGCCGTCAACTGGGCACACGTGAGGCATGCATGGGCACAACTGTTCGGGGTTATCTCTGTTGACACCCCTCCTCACCCCTGTTCATTTTTTAGGCGCCTCAAAAATACCCTAGGCTAAATTTTTGAGGCGCCTAAAAAATCACACGTGGGGCATGCATGGGCAGAACTGTCCGGGGTTATCTCTGTTGACACCCCTCCTCACCCCCGTTCATCCCCTTCCATCCTTCCCCTCCCAGTTAAATACACGCTTAACAGCCGCAATGAGTGAGAACAGGCTGCTGCAGCAGCGGGTGGATCAGCTGCAGCGCACCAGCCGCCACTCCGCTGCCGCATTCAGAGACAGGGAGACCACCCTCAAGCAACACCTTGCGGAGCGCCATGCTGAGCTGGCAGCCTCCCGCCAGCAGGCGGCTGCTGAGCTGGCACGAGTGACGTCCAGACTGGAAGCTGAAGTGGTAAGCGGTTCTCGCACTCCCATTTGATAATTTATATAATTGGTAAGCGTTCTCCCAATCTCAATGCATATCGGGGGACAGTTGTTATTCGACAGAATTGCGCTTGTTCCTTTCCGCGCCCTGTGTTTGGTGTGCGAGCGCAGGGAGCAGAGAGCAGCACAGGAGCAGGTGGTAGATAGCAAGGGGGCAGTGAGCTGGCTGGAGGCGCAGACAAAGTCAGACTCAACTTGGTACGATTTTTTAGTCGACTCAAAAATCGTCTCATCACAGGCGCAGACAAAGTCAGACTCAACTTGGTTGCCCACAGTTAGGAGTCAGCCCTTCTTGTTTTCCCCTTTCCACCCCTTGTATATTCCTCCCGTGTGTGTGTGTCATTGAGAGACACAGAGAGCGGCGCAGGAGGAGGTGGTGGAGAGCAAGGGGGAGGTGAGATGGTTGGAGGAGCAGGTGGAGTCAACCTAGACTTGTTTCCCTTTTCCACCCCTTTGTTTCTCCTTTCCACCCCTTTGTTCCTGGTTGGTCACAGAGAGCGGCACAGGAGGAGGTGGTGGAGAGCAAGGGGGAGGTGAGATGGCTGGAGGAGCAGGTGGAGTCGATGCGGGAAGAGGGGTTGCTGCACACGACACGGCTCAGGGCTGCTGTTGCGGCTGCTGAGAAGCGGGCGCAAGAGGTGAGAGAGAGGAGAGGAAAGGTCGAGAGACGAGAGGTAAGGAGCGAAGAGTTAAAGAGAGTAAAAGTTCGAGGGAAGAGGGGCAGCTGCATACGGCACGGCTCAGGGCTGCTGTTGCTGCCGCGGAGATGCGGGCACAAGAGGTGAGAGAGACAGGAGAGGGGTGGGGGAATGAGAGGGAGTTTGCAGAGTGTATTGAGTATTTTTCAACAGCGTGTTGGGGGAAGAGGGGCAGCTGCACACGGCATGGCCGAGAGCTGCTGTCTCTGCTGCTGAGAAGCGGGCGCAAGAGGTGAGGCAGAGGGGAGGGGAAGGGAGAGGAGAGGTAGGGAGAGTAAGAGTTTCAGGGGAGAGGGGCAGCTGCACACCGCACGGCTCAGAGCTGCTGTCTCTGCCACTGAGAGACGGGCGCAGGAGGAGAGAAAGAGGGATGTGGTATGTGGTTCGTGTCTGGAGTTTGACTTGTGTCACTGCGCTGTGTTCCATGTGTCGTTGCCTGATTGCAGGAAGCTGAGCGGGCCAATGAGCTGCAAGCGTTGCTTGCAGAGAGAAAGGAGACGTCAGACAGAGAGACCAGGCTTCTTGAAGAAAAGGTTTCATCGCTAGAGTCCAAACTGAGCGAGACGGAGTTGAAACTGGCTGTTACAGTGAACAGTGCGATAGCAACTGCCAGGTCAGCACTCCTGCCGCCCACCCCTGCTTCGCCAGTAGACGCCTCGTTATTGTCGTGTGAAGGCTTCGGATCAAGCATTGAAAACAGTGAAAGCAGTACTCCTTCTGGTTCACTCAACAGCAGTGAAATCGGCAGCAGCATGAGCAGTGGCAGCGTCAGCAGCAGCAGTGGCGGCAGGAGAGGGAGGCGGAAGGGGGAGAAGAGCAGGAGCAGCAGCCCTGCCAGGCGTCCCAGCATGGAGGGGAGCACGGAGGGAAGCACAGAGGGGACTGAGCTCGTCAAGGGGAGCAGTGCAGCAGAGGGTACAGCGTTGGGCAAAGATGAAAGCACAAAGTCGGGAGAGTTGGGAAAAGGGGAAAGCGCAGAGGGGACAGCTTTGGAAGATGGGGGAGGTGTGGTAGAGTTGACAGTGCTGGGCAAAACGGAAGGTCCAGAGGTTGCAGAATTGGAGCAAGATGGAAGCAGAAGCGAGGAGCAGAGCACAGAGGGGATGGAAGCAGGGAAGGCGGGCAGTGAAGAGTTGATGGGAGGAGGCGAGGCGAGCAGCACGAACGAAGGAGCGGGAGGAACTCTCGAGAGCAACGCTGCTGCTGACGCTAAAGCTGAAGCTGAGGCTGTGGCAGAGGCTGAACCTGAAACGTCTGCTGTTGCTGCAGACGCTGAGCTTGCTTCTGCTGGTGCTGTTCCGGCTGGTGTTGGTACACAGGGTGATGGCAATGGTGAGGAGGGTGTTGGTGCGTTGGATGCCTCTGCTGCAGCAACGGTGCATGTGGAGGAGGAAGAAGCTGCGGTGATCAAGGCTGATGTTGAAGAAAGGGCGGCTGGCCCAACTGCTGGTGCAGAGGTGTCAGTTCGTGGAACGCCGAATGAGGCCCTTGGCACGCCGAACGAAAATGACTTGAAGGTGCAGTACTTGAATGGGAAGGGGATGTGTGAAGGTCACATCAAGGGGGTACTACTGGTTTTGAGGCGCCTCAAAACTAGGCGCCTCAAAACTAGGCGCCTCAAAACTAGATGTGTGAAGGTCACATCAAGGGGGTACTACTGGGTAAGGTCGCTGATTGCACATGCATGGCGTGCCACCCTACATGGCATGCCATTCTGCATGGCATGCCATTCTGCATGGCGTGCCATTCTGCATGGCGTGCCATTCTGCATGGCGTGTATGTGCAGGCCACCGTATTGGTCTACCTCCCCCCAGCTCCTTCTATCATCGCTGACATTTTAGACTCCTCAAAAGTCCTTTTTAAGGTTGCTCTTTCCTGTCTTCCTGTCCCACTGTCCCCTCTCCCTGTCTTTGCGATCACCCTCCTTCCCACCAATGCCATCATCAGGTGCATGACTTTTGAGGCGCCTCAAAAGTTGTCCCACTGTCCCCTCTCCCTGTCTTTGCCATCACCTTCCCACCAATACCGTCATCAGGTGTATGCGAGGGCCATCTTCCCTGCGTATGTGTCACTCGACGCATCTATCATGGAGTTAAGAGATATCTCAACACCCTAACCTCCTTATCGCCATCACCCTCCTCCCAATCCCAATGCCATCATCAGGTGTATGCGAGGGCCATTTTCCCTGCGTATGTGTCACTTGACGCGTCTATCATGGAGCAGAGCCGCGGCGTGACAGCCATGGTGCAGGTACGGCGGTCGTGGTATGGTGGTAGTGCGTGTACGCAGGTATGGTAGTGCATGGAGGTATGGTAGTGTGTGTCTGCAGGTAAGAAACTTAATGCATGTATGGTATTTCATGCACGTAGTGCTCCGCGTATGTATAGTACCCCGCATTATTCCATGCATGCATGATATCCCGTGCGTGGATACTACTGCATGTCTAGTGTATGTGATGCATGCATTTTTGTCATGTCTAGTCATGTCTTATCCATGCATCTTTTTTCCATGCTATCCCAGGATATGGTAAAGATGGGGGCGGACAAATCATGGGCCAAGCGTCATGTGGAGGAGGAGTTATTGAAACCCGCGCTGACACAACAAGTAGCCGTTGCTGCTGCTCGCGCGGTGGGTACTCGCACTCGGCGGAAGCAAGGAAGGCAAGCCAAGGCAACTAACAGTAACACTAACAAATCAGCTGATGAAGAATCAAATGCAGGAGACCTGGATGGTAAGGTGGTTATGCAGTAGACTAAAAGCTTGGGCAATGAGCTATCATTATGATGGTTTGAGTAGTGCTTGTAAAGTGGATTAAATGGAGCGTGCTCCACTCATCCTTGCACATTTGAAGGTTTGTGTGATCCTTTGAGAACAATTAGGATGTTTTACATAGATCTCAAAGTGGGAAAATGGTTTTTACAAAGCGGATTGCGTGCTGGTGCTGTCGCAACCCTTGATGGCTTACAGGCTCATCGTGGCCGTTGCGTAGAAAACGGGGACACTCGAAAAAGTTTTTGCTGTTCTGGGAACAGTCGAACTACATACGTGGATGTCCATTGGCCCCCGAAATTGCTGAAGGGCGGCGGAACAGCCTTCCCTTACCTCAGCGTCTGCTTCGGACGAAGGAGGCGTGTCGTGTCGTATTTGAACGAATTCCGTACCGCTCCGTCCGTCCCCTGACCACAACCACTTGGCAGGGAAGACCGCTGGTAGAGTCCGAGCCTGGTGTAGTCAAACATTGGTGAACCAGTCACGGCACGGGCATGACGAACCGTCTGAAGAGCCACGGAAGGGCGTCGTATTGGACCCTGCTGCTGCTGATTTGCCTGAAAGTTTGATCTGGGCAAACCTTCTGCGGCCAATATCATTGATACTCAAAGTATGCCAGAGAAACTTTGCATCGGTACTCAACCTCGATTTCTCATCGCTGATTGGTTCTCGCTTTTCAATCGCACTTTCACGCTAATAACACCTCCGAAATGTGACAGAAACAAAACGTGATTACCTAAGTTAAATATGAACAATTGTGTCGACGTGCTACCCAAGCAATAAAAAATGTATCAAGCGCAAATTGCGTTAAAAAAAATAATCATTAGGAAAAAGGATGCAGACTGGGAATAATTCAGGTGCTACCCTGCGTCGACCATGGTCCTGCTCACCTAGAACAGAAGAAAACTAAAACCACATCGAATTGCATGTTATGTAACGGGGCATCAACCTTAAATGTCATGCGACAAGGTGTTTAAGGTTGATGCCATCCGGAAATGATGCCCTTCCGCATGGAGTTTATTTTTAATTGCATGCGGGCAGCAAGCTCTGCTGGACGGTCTCGTTTGACCGGGCAGCAAGCGGAAGGCATAGTTCTAAACACTTGACGGCTCATTTAAGGTTAATATCCAAGCGTTTTAGTATTTTTCCTGTTTTGTTGGGTACGTGCGGTTGAAGTGCTGGTGGCTACTTTGTTTTAGAAGTGTGCTTAAAACCGGATCAAACAGTAAATGTAGTTACTATACCGAGAAAATGTTGGTTGATTACGTTTGCAAACCGCGACTGGCATAATCTGAGTATCAATGATATTGGCCGAACCTTCTGGACGAACATCTCGGCTCGGCTCGGCCCCGCACGGTTCGGTCCTCCTCACCTCAATTGACCTGACCTCCTCCCCACCGCCTTTTTCCAGAAGCCCAAGTTATCCAATCCCAACCCCATCAACCTCGTTCATCAGGATTCAGGTCAGGAGGGCCCGCCACAGAGATTCCCCCTCACATGTTTCCTTGGGAACTCCAGCGCCTTCAGTCAGTTCATGCAGTAGAACAAGTGCAGTCCAGTTTTAGGATCATTCGTTCAATGTCCTGTTCTTTCCTGGTATTGCTAGGTCGGCTTGCGTGTTAGGTCGTGTGGGCCCGCACTGATTGTTGGCTGGCGTGTGACGGCGAAATTTTAAACGAGGATTGATTATCATAACCTAAAATGTAGATTTCTTTCGCGCTTCCGACCATTGTTTTGAAAGGAGAGATCCGCGATCTGAAACCCTAGATCCTGTCCTAGTCTCGATCCTCGTAAGCATTATCGCGTTACCCATGGAAGTTCCGCCTTCCACGCCGTGTTGCGCGGCCAGCCATCCAGACCGGTACAGCAGCGGCCATTCCTCATGCCTAAGCTCCTCCGCGTGCACGGAAGCCGCCTCGCCGGACGGCGAGTGGAACCTGCGCGAAGCGGGGGGTGGCGCAGGCGGAGGTCCTTCCGCGCGCGGGGGATCTTCCGCCGTTCTTCCGCAGAAGCGGCGGGAGCCGCCTTCCGCGCAGAGGGACCGCGCGGAGTGCCGGTGGTGCGGACGGCGCGTGCTGCTGAAACGGCGGTGCAGCTGCAAGGCGTGCTTGGAGTCTGGTCCGCCGATGGATCGACGGATAATGCGATGCAGGGACTGCACCATTCACTCCGTACGTTACAGATGGGACGCGGACGATGAAAATGGGGGAAAAAGAAGAGCAAAATTTTGTGGTGAGAATCAAGGATTTATCCATGAATCAACAATAAATGCAGGTCGTCCGTTCCGTACATTAAACAAAATGGACGGATACCCATTTGGTTTACGAGTTTTGAGACGTCTCATCAGAGTTTTGAGTTTTGAGATTTCTAAAAAAGCGTCGTCCGTTCCGTGCATAAAACAGAATGGACGGATACCCATTTGGTTTACTGTTCCGGGTCAAACAGGACAATGTAGCATCACATACGGCTTCATGCCTGACATTTGGCCAAGCAGTCAACGCTTGCAGCGAAACATTTTCACCAAACCTGATTCTTCGGCCTACGAATATGAACCCTCAGAATCATCCATCCTTCCCCCAGCACCTGCTTCTACCGCAGGCGCGGTGCGTGGTGTGTCTGTGCTTCTGACGCGTGTACGAGGACGTGGTGATCTGATCTGAACCCTTTCAAGGCCATCCATCTCCCTCCATCCCCTGCAGGCGCGGTGCATGGTGTGTCTGTGTCTGTGCCGCGTGTACAAGGACGTGGTGATCTGATCTGAACCCTTTCAAGGTTACCCATTCCCCTGTGCTTCCACCACAGGCGCGGTGCATGGTGTGTTTGTGCCTGTGCCGAGTCTACGAGGACGTGGAGCGGTGCTGCGAGCCCTCAAGCCATGTATCACTCCCCCCACCCCATCCCTCATGCTTCCACGGCAGGCTCGGTGCATGGTGTGTCTGTGTCTCTGCCGAGTCTATGAGGACGTGGAGCGGTGCTGCGAGCCGGGGTGCGTGAATCTGCTGCACCACCGCTGTGCCAAGCCACATATGGGGCTCTCCTGGACCTCCCACGGGCTGCACTGCATGCACCACAAACTCTCTCCCTCCACTCCCACTCCTCACTACCCTCGCTCCATGCCTTCTTACCCATACCCCTTGCTTCTCCTTTGCACCCCAGGCGCGCTGCATGGTGTGTTTGTGCCTGTGCCGCGTGTATGAGGACGTGGAGCGGTGCTGTGAGCCGGGGTGCGTGAACCTGCTGCACCACCGCTGCGCCAAGCCACAGATGGGGCTCTCCTGGACCTCCCACGGGCTGCACTGCATGCACCACAAGCTCTTCCCCTCGCCCTCTGCCTCCTCCTCGTCATCCTCCCTGTCTAACAACGCTGCTGCTGCTGTTGCCACTGCCACCACCGCCACTGCCCCCACTTCCGCCGCTGCTGCCACCGTTAACCCCACAGCCGCCGCAGCCACTGCTGCCGCCATTGGCAATGGGAATGGCAGCGGTGGCAGCGGCATCGGTGTCAGTGGTGGTGGTGGGGGGGGCAGTGGCGGCAGCGAGGATGCTGGCAGCAGAAATGGCGGTGGCAGTGGCGTTGGTAATGGGGATGGTGGGCTGGGCAGGGACGGAGGGGAAAAGGTGCAAGCAGTGGGCAGCAATGTCAGTAGCAGCAGCAACAGCAGCAGCGGTGGCGGCGGAGGCAGTGGCAACGCTGGTGGTGGTAGTAGAAATGAAGGAAAAGGTGGTGGTAAAGATGGTGGAAAAGCTGACGGGAATGGCGAAAATGGCAGCAATGTTGGTGGCTGTGATGGTGACACCCATGGCTGCAGCAGCAAGGACTCGTGCCATTTCTGCAGCCTGCTGGAAGAGCGGTCCACGCTGCCACGCCTGCCTACTCCCTCCATTCTCAACTGGGTGCGTCTCAGCCTCAGGCTGTTGGCTGGCCCTTCGTAACTTTGTGCTATTGTGGTCACTCTCTCTGCCTGCCTGGCTGTGGTTCTGTCCTTGGCGCAATGGCGGCCTCACATACCCCTCGCCGCTCATGCAGCATCCCTCCCTCCCACTCGTTCATGCAGCCTCACTCACCACCCACTCTCCCTTTGCACTCTCTCTTGTTTCTCCTGTGCATGCATGTGTGCATGCGTGCATGCGTGTGTGTGTGCGTGTGTGCATGCGTGCATGTGTGCATGCGTGCATGTGTGCATGCGTGCATGTGTGCATGCGTGCATGTGTGCATGCGTGCATGCGTGCATGCGTGTGTGTGTGCGTGTGTGCATGCGTGCATGCGTGTGTGTGTGCGTGTGTGCATGCGTGCATGCGTGTGTGTGTGAGTGTGCATGCGTGCATGCGTGTGTGTGTGCGTGTGTGCATGCGTGCATGCGTGTGTGTATGCGTGTGTGCATGCGTGCATGCGTGTGTGTGTGCATGTGTGCATGCGTGTGTGTGTGCATGCGTGCATGCGTGTGTGTGTGCATGTGTGCATGCGTGTGTGTGTGCGTGTGTGCATGCGTGCATGCGTGTGTGTGTGTGTGTGTGTGCATGCGTGCATGCGTGTGTGTGTGTGTGTGTGTGTGTGCATGCGTGCATGCGTGTGTGTGTGTGTGTGTGCATGCGTGCATGCGTGTGTGTGTGTGTGTGCATGCGTGCATGCGTGTGTGTGTGTGTGTGTGTGTGTGCATGCGTGTATGCGTGTGTGTGTGTGTGTGTGCATGCGTGTATGCGTGTGTGTGTGTGTGTGTGTGCATGCGTGCATGCGTGCACGTTGTTCCTGCTGCGTGGGCATCGTGCATATCTGCTTCTCACCTGCCCTGCCAACAGTACTGTGAACCCGTGCAAACTGCACAGGTGAGCCGCATACTCCCTGCCGCCCCATCCCTCTACCCCTCTGCCTTTTCATTCCACCCCTGATTCCTAGCTTCCCTGATTTCCACTTTTCCTGATTTGCACTTTCTTTGATGCCTAGCTTCTCTGATTCCATGAATCCCCTATTTCTCTTTCTGCAT